GGTTCAGCATTCTCCCGCGGGGAGCAGGACCCCGATGTCACCTGTCCTCTCTGTCCCCTGCAGGTCCCATGGCGCTGGGCCGGGCCCTGCTGGTGCTGCTGGTGCTGAGCCCCCTGTGGGCGTGTGGGGCTGAGCTGCTGGAGCCAGGGCTGCCCTGGGGCGGGCAGTGGGTCTGGGGGGAGGCCAAGCCCCTCTCCCGTGGGAAGAGGGATGACAGTGGGCAGGAGCCCGGTGCCACCGCGACGATCAGCAGTGACAAGAGCAATGGTGTCTCTGTGCCAGCACCCAGCACCAAGGCCAGCCTGCTCCAGGTGCCAACCACAGCCGATCCCATGGATGATTCCCCCGAGCCTGAGCTGCTCCTGAGCTCTGCAGCACCAGTGCCCGGCACCAACACCAGCCTGCCCCAGGTGCTTGCAGTGTCCACCACAGCCGAGCCTATGGATGAGACAGATTCCCCTAAACCTGACTTACTGGAGGACTCTGTGGCACCAGCAGTGCCCAGTGCCACCACCAGTCTGCTCCGGATGCCCACCACAGCCGATCCCATGGATGAGACAGATCCCCCTGATCCTGATCTGCTCCCGAGCTCTGCCCCACCAGCAGCTCCCAGCACTGAGGCCAGCCGGGCACCCGTGGTGCCAACCACAGCTGATCCCATGGATGAGACTGATTCCCCTGCTCCCGATCTGCTGCTGCCAGGCTCAGAGCCTGGCACATCATCAGCAGCCCAAAAGAGCATCCCCACCACCACCCCCAGGTGGCTCACGGCACTCATCGAGGAGGACACAGTGACCGATGGCCTGGACATCGACTCCTCCACGGGGCCACGCTCAACAGCCCGCCCAGCCTTTGTCCTCACCAGCACGGGCTACAGGAAACCCAAGAAATCCGGAGCTCCGCCTGCATCGACCCTCCCGGCCACTTGGGACACGACGCCGGTGGGCACCGCGGTGCCCTGGGAGCCCAGCGGGGTGATGAGCAAGTGCCTGCTGGCCATCCTGCTGCTGGGGCTGGTGGCCGCCACCTTCCTGGTGAGCACGGGGGTGCTGGGGACGCTGCTGTGGCGGCGGGCGCGGACGGGGGAGCGCCGCTTCAGCCGCACCGAGATGGTTTGTATCTCCTCGCTGCTGCCCGACGCCGAGGCCGCCGCCGGCCCCCGTCCTGTCCCCGCCCGGCGGCACAAGCTGCTGCTGCCTGACGGCAGCTCCGAGGCCGATGGAGACAACCTGACTCTCAGCAGCTTCCTGCCGGAGCACTCCTGAGCCCCAGGGATGGCTCCTGCATCCCGCAGCGCTGCTGCCATCCCCGTTGGAGCCGCGGGCAGGGCGGGCGCCCCTGTCCCCCGGTGTTTTAGCTTGGACCAGTGTGACAGAGCTGCTCCCCCGCGGCCAGTTCAGCCTTCGAGTCCCACCCATCCCATTAAAGAGTTACCCGGACATGGTGGTCTCTTCCTGGCAGGGACCCGCCAGCCCCCTCCCGGCCCCGCCGCCTGCCCACATCCTGCTGCCAAAATTTCGCTTCTCCATCCTCCCCCTCAAGCCCCTGGGGGAGCAGAAATGAAACCCGCGGCCAGGCAGGGACCAGAGCCCGGGACCTTGGGGATGGGACCGCAGCCCCCGGGACCTCCTGCTCGGCCTCGTGGGAGCTGGAAGGGCGGGGGGGACGGGGCGGAAACGGGGGGGACGGGGACAGGGACAGGACGGGTGCGCTCGTGGCACAACGTGTTCCTGCCTGCGGTCGCTGCAGCGAGGCGGGGACGCCTCCGGGGCCGCCGCTGCCTGTCAGGTGCTCGGCTTCGGGGGGAACGGTGGCCGCAGGGGCTCGGCATCGTCCAGCTGGGACTGGGAGGGATGGGGAGAGCAACTCCATGAGAGGCCAGCAAAGGTCCCAGCGTTTCACTCGCTCAGGCAGGTGTCAGTCACCCCTCAGGCCACCAACTGATCCCTTCCTTGGGGGAGTGAAAATAGCCCGGGACTCTCCTTGTCCTGCCAGGCTCAATGTCCCCATTTTTCCATTTTGCTCCGCCCAGGCTCCCCATCCCCACATCCCCACATCCCCATTCCTGCTGTGACCAGCTTCAATGTCCCTATCTCTCCATCTTCACCCCTGCCCCTCCAGATTCAGCATCCCCATTCCCACATCCCCACTCCCACATCCCCATATCCCCTTCCCCACATCCCCAAGCTTGCAGCCTCCTCGAAGGCCACTCTGGGCTGGTTATCCAGGAGGAATTGCCAGCGTGGTCATTCACCTGCATCCCAGCCCTTCTGCCTGTTTACATTCACCCTGAGCTTGGGATATTTTCCATCTGGATCCTGGCAGCTGCACAGCCCCGCTCTGGCTGTGAATGTAAATGTTTATGGGTGAGTCAGCCGGGCCAGGGGACCCGCAGCTGGTGGCCATGGCCGGTCCCCATGCAGGACACCCTGGCCGTGGGCTCCTTGCTGATGCCACCCTGCTCTGTCCCACTGTGTCCCCCCGCCAGCCAAAGCAGCCATGGGGGAAGATGGATGCTCCCATCCTCTGCATTCACCCCACAGCAGCTCATCCAGCCTCTGCCCCCGCTGAGGATGAGGCGGGTGTGTCCCGAAGAATAGGATGGGGGCAGATCCGAGGGATTGCTCCCGTTCTCCCGGCCCTGTGCCGGCTGCTCTCCAGCAGGAGCCCAGCGAGGAGAAACTTTCCTCCACTGAGGGAGCCGGGAATCGCCCTATTTGGCGCAGTCAGCAGCTCCTGTCGGGCTGCCATCGCCTGCCTCACGGCACAGGAATTCACGGGAAGCCTGCGCGGTGTCACAGCAGGATCCTCAGGGCAGGGTGTGGTGGGGTGGCACCGGGCCGTGGTGGGTGACAGCGGACCGAGGGTGACACCGGGCTATGGAGGGTGACAGGGGGCCGGGGGTGGCACCGGGCTGTGGTGGGTGACAGGGGGTCGGGAGTGGCACCGGGCTGTGGTGGGTGACAGGGGGCCGGGGGTGGCACCGGGCCGTGGAGGGGGACAATCCCACGCCGCACATGGAGCTCCACGCGCCCCGTGCAGCTCTGCAGGACGGGCGCCCTCCGGGTATTTTGCTGGCACAGCAAAGCGCAGCCCGGAGAAGCAAATTAGAAGCAGAGCAAGGCTGCAATGCCTCAAATTGCCGGTTCCCCGGGCGGGCTATGCCGCCGAGCCCAGCCCTGCGCGGCCGCGCGTTCCTGCTGCCCCAAATTACACGGCGGGACCGGGCGGTCCCGGCCCTGCCCAGCTCGGAGGGGCCGGGCCCGCGCCCGCTGCAGGCAAAAACGGCATCGTAATGGGATGGTGGGAGCTGGCACCGGGAACTGGGCCGGGGATCCTGGCTGCGAGGGTGGGGACGCTGGGCAGGGAGGGATGAGGAGTGTGAGCAATGAAGGGTGGGAAGCGAGGGCAGCAAGGGTGGGATGTAGATCCTGGACAAGGAGGGATGGAGACTCTGGGCGAAGCAGGATGGGAATCCTGGCTGGGGTGGGATGGGGCTCTTGGATCAGTGGCAATGGGGACTCTGGACAATGTGGGATGCAGTCCCTGGGCAGGGTGGAATGGAGACGCTGGACAAGGAAATTGAGCCCAACACCGGCATCACTGGGTGCGTGGGGGGAACTCAGCCCCATCCCCACCTGGGCTGCAGGAGCAGGGCCGGATGCTGCTGGAACTCCTCGCCCCCGGCCTCCCCTCGCCTTTCCCCCTTCCCCTCTAAGATTTCATCACTGAGCACTTAAGGCCGGGAAAAGCCGCCCGAGCAGCTGCAGGGAGCCGCCGGGGCAGCCAGACGGACGGAGCCTTTATTTCGGGGAGCGGCGGCGACGCCGGAGAAACCCCAGCGGCGCCAGCCCCACTCCGGCCGAGGGGACAGAATCCCGGCCCCTCACCCCGCGGGGGTCACGGTCCCCAGGCGCTGGCCACGGCTTTTTGGGGGGTCTGGCAGGTCCCCAGAGAAAAATAGCAACGGGATGAGGTCACACAGCGGCTGCAGCCTCTTGAGCAACTTCAGGCCAGGCCGAGGGGACGAGGGCAGGGGGAGAGAGAGATTGGGGGGGCTCAAGAGATGCCCGCAGACCCCAAGACTAGAGACCAGGACCCAGGGAGCTGAGCAGCTGCTGTGTTTGTCTGGGGAACCAGGGGGACACCTGCCTGTGTCCCTGCCTGCACCCCAAGGCAGAGGCGCCCAGGCCAGAGCATTTCTAGGCTGGGATTTTAGGAAATGTTCTTCTGAAATTATGGGGATGATCCCAAGCCATGTTTGCCCCACTGCCCCAATAATGCCAGGGCACTGAGCCCACATCTCTCACTGTCCCCCTCGGGTGTGCATTACCCCCACCTTCGTGGATAAAAACAACATTAAAAACAACCCCCTGTGTGACTCTCATGCCACTTGCACCCCAAAATGTGGCCCCTTTTTGATGATGGGGTTTGATGATGGGGGGCACCGTGGCTCCTTTGCTGACGGGATAAGCCAGGAAACACCCCCAGCCCCAGCTGGATTTCATCTGGGAGGGGGCTGGGGGCTGCCTGCCTTTCCCTGGCCTCCCACACCCCCTCCCCATCCCGGCCGTAATGAGAACAAGCTGGTCCCGGGCTGCGACGCAGGAGGAGGAGGAGGAGAAGGAGGAGGAGAGGAGGGAGAAGGAGGAGGCTCCATCCCAGCAGGCTGCAGAAAGGGGCTCGAGGTGTGTGGGACAGATCCCGTCTTCCCGGCTGCCTCCCGCCGGCCGCGGGCAAGGTGAGGATCCCACTGGATGTGCCCAGCTGCTCCCCAATTTTCGGGGGGCTCTGGAGCAGGGCATAGGCTGTCCCACAGCCAGGGGTGCTGCAGTGAGGGCAGGGCATGGTCCCCACGGCGGGACACGGGATGGAGTCGGCCACATGGCTGCATTCCCAGGCGGGAATCGGAGCGTGCTGCCTCTGGACAACACCAAAACCCTGAATTTCTGGAGCGGTTGGAAAGCGGAGCTGGGAAGGAGCTGTGGGTCTGGGGGTGGGCAAGGAAGGGGCTGGAATGGGATTGGGATGGGGTGGAGGGTTGGCAATGCCCGCGGTGCCAGGCCCTGCTGTTGGCGCTGCTTTGGGCTTTGCTCAGCCCCTGCGTGGCCACGGCTGCTCCTCAGCTCTGATGGCTGCCGGGGAATCGGTGCCGTCCCCATCCCGGGACCCCTTTCCAGCTGAGGGGCCCCTGTCTGGGGAGGAGAAGAGGATGAAGGCCCTCATCTCAGCCCCTCAAACCCTTCATTCTCCTGGTGCTGGTCAGTGCTGTGACCCCAGAGCCACAGCAGTGCCTATGGGGAGCCGGGAGGGTTGGGGTCGGGGCACCTCCCACCTCTGCTGCTGTTTTTTTGCACTGGATTAATGGAAACCAGATTGTGCAGCCAGGAGAGAGCGTGGAAGCCAAATCCTGCTGCTAGAGTCCCTCTTGTTCTGTAAAGCTGCTGGCTTGGGTTTGTTTGGGGGGAAAATGGGACATGGGTTGGGATTTGGGGAGCCTGAGGTTGGGGAATTGTCATGGGGGGGTCCCTGCTGATGTACCTGGGGAGCTGTTTCCCGAGACCTCCCCATGGAGCTGTGTGGAGGGAAAGAGCCCTGGGAATGGCTCGATGGCGTTACGTGGCATGGCACGTGTGGATCCCTCGGGAATGTCTCGCAGTGGAGACAGTCACGTCCCTGTCCCAAATCCCAAATCCCGTGGGGTGCAGAGCCCGGCCAGGGGCTCACCCCGGTCATCGCTCCGGGCTGGGAAGCGCGTGTCCCGTGTCCTGCAGCGCACTGTGGGCTGTGGAATGGGGCAGATCCAGCCCCATCTGGGCGAGGAGCACGGTACAGGGACAAAGCCAGGCTTCCCCCCTTCCCAGGGACTCTCAGGCAGCTCGGACCCCATTCCCTGCTCCCCAGCTCTGGGGCTGCCCCTTTGTCCCACACCCCATCCCGGCTCCACTCAAGCACATGGCGGCACCAGGGTGAAATCCTGCCCCAAACTATTTTTAGCCGTGTTCCAGCTGGGAATTAACGGTCTGGGACGGCGGTTGGGAAATGCCTCTTGCACCAGGCCCAGCCCCTTTGTAGCGTCGCCTGTGTCAAAGTTTCCACTGCAAACCTCCATTTTTCAGGAATTCTCTAATCAGCCAAATGACCGTTGTCTGGAGCTGGGCGCTGGCAGCAGCCCCGGTCCCCAGCCTTGAGCAATCCCACCCAGCTGGCCTCCAGCTGTGCCCTTGGAAAACAAACAGAGCCCCCTGCTGCGTCAGGGTGAGAAAACCGGAGCTGCCTTTCCACTTCCATAAGGAAATTCAGGCGGGTGAGGGCTGGCTTGGGGGGCTCGCTCTGTTGGGGTATTAACGTGTCCCTCACCTCTCTGCATCCCACAGGTTTCCTGCAGGAATCCTGGGAATGGGCTCAGCCATGGGCACGTGGTTGCTGCTCTTGGTGCTGCTGGTGGCAGCCCCGGCTGAGGCAGCAGCGCCCCGGCACCGCCCGGTGCTGCCGGACACGGCGGGCAGCGGGGACGGGGACGAGGCGTCGGCCACGCTGCCTGCCCAGCCCGTGACCCCCCGGATCAGCCCCACCGTGGGGGAAGCACCGGGGACCACGGTGACCAACAGCTCGGCGCCGGGCGTGCTGGACGGGCTGGTGGACTTCTTCAAGGAGTACTTGCTGCTGGTGGTGGTCGTGGGCTCGCTGTCCTTCGTCCTCCTCTTCATCATCTGCGCCGCTGTCATCGTCCGGCAGAAGCACAAGGCCTCTGCCTACTATCCCTCCTCCTTTCCCAAGAAGAAATACGTGGATGAGCGGGACAAGTCGGGGGGAGCGCGGGATTTCAGCGAGGTGCCGGACAAAGCCCTCGAGGCCGGCGCGGAGGAGCCGCTGGACGGCGGCCGGCAGCTCCAGGCCGACATCCTGACTGCTGCCCAGAACCTCAAATCCCCCCACAAGGCACCACTGGCCAACGGGGCCCAGGGTGAGCAGAATTCCCCCCAGCAGGAGGAGGAGAAGGAGGAAGAGGAGGAAGGAAAGAAGAAGTTGAGGGATGAGCAAACCAAGCCCCCTGCCCAAAATCCGGGCGCAGAGGAAGGGGCGAGCGCAGGAAGCAAGGATGGAGGATGCACCCCTGATGTATCCCAGGATGGCTCCCAGGCTCCCTCTGGAATCTGAGGCAGGGACACGGTCCCGGGCAAGCCTGAGGAGCTGCTGCCTTGGGACACACGATGGACAGGGTGGATCAGGCTCCATACGTACGTGGTGGCTCAAGGAAGCCCCGATGAAGATCCCGTTCCCTCCCAGCTCCCCCGACCCTGGTGCTGATGGGATGCTCATGGGGGGGATTTGCCAGCTGGTGGCTTTCCCCAGCACTGGAACGCTGTCAGCCCCAGCTCCTGCTGCCCAAGGGGCTTCTCCCGCCCCAGGCACTGGGTGGGTGCTTCCCCCCAGCTGCAGCTCTGCTCCCCCTGTGCCAACAGCTTCCTCCCAAATGTTATTTTAATCAGCAGCAGTGGCCTGGTCCGTGCCGGGCTCCTGGATGGGAGCTGTGTCCCTCTGGGAGAAGGGATGGGACCAGGGCTGGAGGTCTGTAGGACACGGGTCAGCTTTGCCCAAGACCACCCAAGGGAAAGAGAGATGAGGATTTAGGGACAAGGACCCTCCTTTCCTTCTTCCACCCCAGAGCCCAGCTGGATTTTTGCCTCACTTCCTGAACCCCTTCAGCTAGAAATAAACATTTCTTCCGCACAGCTCCTCTCCCGTGTGTGTCTCAGCCGTGGGGCGGCCAGGGGACAGTCCCTGTGTTCCTGTGCTCCTCCAGGGGCACAGCTGGATTGGACTCCAGGGCCAGTGGAGCCCTGGGCAGGGTGTTATCAATCCCCACATCAGCACATCACGTGCCCTTCCAGGAAACCTTTATCTTGTACCCACAGCTGTGGGGCTGAGGAGGGGCTGTGGGGACTCAGCCACAGCCCTGGGGTGCAGCTGCTGCAGTGGGGACAGCAGGGAAACCTGGCAGGTGAGTGAGGCTGTTCTGCCTCAAAAGCAGCACATCCCTGAACCTCCTGCAATCCCTGTGTTTTATCCCATTATGTCCTTGCCTCAGGACAGCCTTCCTTCGGGAAGCGTGTGCCACCACAAAGAGCTGGTTTTGCCCCAAAGCAGATGTGAGTGGGTGAAACTTCCCTGATTTTTTTTAAACTGGGAAATAGCAGGATGGTTCCATGAGGGAGAGGTACATTCCTCACTGCTGGAGGGTGCCAGGAGCTGAGGAACCACAAGAGGGACCTTGTGAGTGACAAACTCGCAGCAACGTGTGACCTCTGTGTTAGAAATTACAATTATTGTGCCTGGATGGAGCAGGATGAGACAATTATTTTTTTTTAAATGTGGTTTTAAATGTTTAACAACACCCTCAGTATGAAAAATGGGAAGTGATATGTCTCGTGGGGGGTTAGAAGGTTAAAAAGTGAAGTCTGCCAATGTGTTGTCTGCTTGGTTTGGAAATACTCCTCCAGAAAAGAGGAACTCTGGGAGCTCCCCCTCAGCTCTGCTATTCCCCACTGGGGCTCCAGTCTGAGGGTGTCCTTTAGAGAATCTGGGAATGGTTGGGGTATGAAGGGATCTTAAAGGTCATCCAGTTGCAAACCCCTTCCTTGGGGTTTGTAAATCCCTTGGGGGATTTACAGCTCTAAGAGAGCACCTGGTGAGTGAAGAACTGAAATTCTGAGAGAAAACACCCTAAAATTCAGGCTGTTCCTCAAACAAGAGCTTCAAAAATTAAGTGGTAACAGGATGGGAGCAGAAACCACCAGTGTTTCCTGATCACTTTTCCCTTTGGCACCAGCAAAAGGTTCCCAGAATTCCAAGAGCAGGAATTTGCCCCCGGATTACGAAACCAACCCTGACACAGCCAGAGCCAGGGACGGCCACACATCTCTCACACACGCATCCAAACCAGGGCAACACTTCCCACTAAATTCCATAAGATATTAGGCAAAACTAGACATCTTCCCAAAATAAAAATGAAAAGTGCAGCCCTTGCAGTACCGGACAGCGGGGTTTGGTCTCCGGAGCGGAGTCTTCCCGCGGCATTCCCGAGGGGACAGCAGCCCCATCCAGGTGAGCACTAGGGGGTGCCTGGACACCACAGGGACACGTTGTGCGTAACTTGTGCGTATCTTACAGCTTGAGTAGTGCACAGGGTCCTACAACAGCTCGGGAATTGCACTGCAGAGTGAGGAGGGAGTGAGGAGGGGAAGCTGCGCAGGCAGTTCAGGCATTGTCGGCTTTTTTGTCGGCTTTTTTGTCGGATTCTCTGTTTGGATCCTGCTTCAGTTTGTAGTCGGCCAAGGCGGCCTTGATGGCGTCTTCAGCCAGCACTGCAAAGCAAAAACAAAAAAAAAGGATTTTAAGGACCATTCAAGGGCTTTTAGGGCAAAAGATGGAGTAAAAACAAAAGCAGGCAGCGGGGAGCAAACAAGACCAGCAGCGTAGACTGGTATTAGGAGTAGAATCTGAATGGAATTCCTAAAATATTGAATTCCTACAATGCTGATTTCATGTAATGTAACTTCAGATAATAACAGAATTCAGAATCTGATTGTTTATTATCAGTCTGCTGAGCCACAGGCTCCAAAATATTGAAGTGCTCTGAAAATTCTTGAATTAACCCTGAAATCTGAACATGTTTTCTCTTAAGGACAATGTCGTACAGAAATTGTTTGGAAAACAGCATCCAGAAGCATCTGTGCTGTTTCCAGAGTATCTGAGATGCAGGGTTTTTACTTACTGGAGCAGTGCAGTTTGACAGGGGGAAGGCAGAGTTCCTTGGCAATATCTGTGTTCTTGATTTTCAGCGCTTCATCAACCTGAAACACAGGCAGAGGTGGTCAAAGGCCCTGTTGTTTGTTGTTTGTATCAGTGTCACACACTGTCCCCACTTGGCCTGTTTCAAGTCTGTTCATCTTCTATCACAACACTGAGGTGCATTTGCTGCTGGCAGAAATGACCTAAAAGTTCTCTATAATTAAAATTTCTGCCATCAGCCTGGTTTTGCTCATTGCATAAGACACAAAGAAATTTCCTGGTGGAATTGTTCCATGTGGAGGTGACACTTGGGGACATGGTGAGTGGTGGAGTTGCCAGTGCTAGGGGAACAGTCAGACTTGATGTTCTTAGAGGGCTTTTCCAACCTTAATGATTCTCTGATGGTTGGTGAAAAAGACAATTATTGCCCTATAAGTGAAACCCTGACAGTGCTGGCAGTCACTGCTATAGCACAGAGCAGTGCAGGGACTCCCTGGAGAGCATTTCACCATGATCCCAGCAGAGAACACAGACACATGGGAAGCCCTGCAGCCTTCCCGGAGCTCCCTCACCGTTTTCCCTTTGACCCACTCCGTGGCCAGCGAGCTGGAGGCGATGGCTGAGCCACAGCCGAACGTTTTGAAGCGAGCGTCCACAATCTTGCCGTTCTCGTCCACTTCCACCTGCGGGAGCATTTTGGGGACACTTCAGTGCCCGGTTCAGCTCAGCCAGGTCCCCCCAGCCGGGCCCGCGGGGAGCGGGACTGGCCCTGCCCCAGGCACAGGACACGGGCAGGGCGGGCATGAGGGAAGCCCATGAGGGAACACGGGCAGCTTTAACCCTGGCAACAGCCCCGTGTGACCCCACCCAGGTGCCAACGGGTCCCCAAGGTCACCTGCAGCTTCATGACGTCGCCGCAGGCCGGAGCGCCCACCAGGCCGGTACCCACGTTCTTGGAATTGCGGTCGAGGGAGCCGACGTTGCGCGGGTTCTCGTAGTGATCCACCACCTGCCAAGACACAGCGTCAGCGAGGGTCACCCCGCTCCCCCGTCCCTCCCCGCGTCACGCTCGCCCCTCACCTTCTTGTGGTAGCCCAGCACGGCCGGGGCCGGCCCGGCCCGGGGCCGCAGCAGCACCGCCCCCGCCGCCCTCAGCGCCGCCATCTTGACTGAGGGGAGGGGCGGTGTCTGCGTGCCTTTTATAACCTCGGGTTTGGCCACGCCCCCTAGCACGCCCCGACCACGCCCCTTCGTCTCCGGAGCTCGCGTCTCACCCCGGTCATTCGTTGGCCGCGCAGACCGCGCGAGCGCTGGAGGCCGCGCTGCGACTGAAACGATCAGTAAATAAATAAACGATGGGAACGGCCTTTCGGTCGCGCCAGGGTTTCCATCGCGACACACGGCGCGCGTGCGGCACGCGGCGCCACACTCAACATGGCGGGCGCGCGGCGCCGCGCACGCCACGGACCCTCTCGGAGGCCCCCTGATGGCCACACAGCGGGGTGCCCACGGCGCTGCCTGCGCCACGGACCAGAAGACAAAGGGTCGCGCCGCGGCCGCACTCGGCGCAGCGTGGCCCCGGTGCGCGGGCGAGCGCGGGGCGGGGCGGGCTGAGGATCCCGGTTCTTCCCGGCCGGTTCGGCCGGCGGTGGGGCGGAGCAGCGGGACGGGCGGCGCGGGGGCAGCCGCGGCGGCCGGCGGAGCGCGGCAGGCGGCGAGCGGAGCTGCATAAGATGGCGGCGGCGGGAGCTGAGGCGGCGGCCGAGGAGGAGAAGCGGCTGCCGGAGGGAGACCCCGAGTCGGGCGGGGACTCGGACGATGAAGGCGACTCGGATTCGTCTGGGGACGGCGAGGATGAGGAGAAGGAGAACGAGGCCGAGATCCAGCGGCTGGAGGAGCAGGTGGGCCCGGCGGGGCAGCGGGTGTGGCGGGAACGGGGATAATCCGTGTCTGCCCCGGCAGTTCGGTGCTGGCACCGTCAGGGTGTGAATTTCCCTGCTCCTTGTGAGTTTCCTCCAGCTTGGGATATTCATTGATTTTATGCCGTGAATGTTTGGTGTCTGAGATGGAGATTGACCAGCTTGGGATTGTTTTGAGAGGAGGGAAGTCCTCGTAAGCAGTTGGCGTTCATTGAGAAATCTGAGCCGCTGCCCGCGGGTTTTTATTGCCTTTAAAAAAATTAAAGCATAATTCTGTGGCGGGACCCGAGGGAGCGGCCGGGACTGTGTCAGGTTTTTTATTAAACCTGAGAAAACTCTGCGTTGTCTGGTTCTGTGATCACACCACGAGAATTGTATGATTTGTTTTCTGACTTCTTCGCGTCCATCACTCAACACGGCTTTTAAAATGGATTTATTTTTATTTGTTTTAAGCTGTCCATCAATGCTTTTGATTACAACTGTCACTTGGATCTGATCAAGCTGCTCCGGCAGGAGGGAGAGCTGGTGAAGCTCCGCAGAGCTCGGCAGAAGATGAGCGAGCTTTTCCCCCTCACTGAAGGTACGGAGCATCCTCTCCTCTCCACAGGTGCAGGATGTTTCAGCAGTGAAATAAAATATTTAGGCCGATTTTCAATAGCCTCAGTCAGGGAATGTGATCCAGACCTCATCAAAGTCCTGCTAAAAATTTCATAGGCGGGCAGCAAAGAAAATTCCCTCTTGGTGGAAATTGTGGGTGCTTGAAGTGGGGATTTCTATTTTTGCTTATAACTCAGAGGTGATGGAAATATTGCAGAGGCTGTGGGATTTTATTTTTGGGAAGGGACGGGGAGGCCCTGGCACAGGGTGCCCAGAGAAGCTGTGGCTGCCCCTGGATCCCTGGAAATGTCCAAGGCCAGGCTGGACTGGGCTTGGATCAGCCTGGGATAGTGGAAGGTGTCCCTGCCTATGGCAGGAGGTGAAATGGGATGATTTTCAAAGTCCTGAGAAATTCCAACTTCTCCCTTCAGTAAAAAGGTGCTTGTTTAGCACCAATTTAAGAGGTCTCTGTCCCACTTTTATTTGAAATTAATTAGGAAATGTGGAGGTTAAAATTCCTCTCTTTGCCTTGCTCCCCTTCCTTTGTTTTAAGTTTGTTGTAAAAACTCACCAAGTGGACAGAAGTTATTATTTCTGGATATTAGTGATGTGTTGTAATTTTTTTTTCCTTTTAGAAATTTGGCTGGACTGGTTGAAGGATGAGATAAAAATGGCTTCAGAGGTCTCAGAGAGAGAGAAGGTTTATGAGCTGTTTGAAAGAGCTGTCAAAGATTACATCTGTAAGTCGCCCAAAAATGCTCTAAAATGGCTTTTGTTGCATCCAGATTTGGCTTTGTAGAGAACTCTTTTGCTTCTGTTATAGTGAAGAAGTTGGGGGGAAATTTCAAATTAATTTCCAAAGTCTGAATGTAAAGTGGTGCTAGGAAAGGCTGTGGTGTCTGGTCTCTCCATTCCTCAGGAGATGCTGCAGCTGTGGCTTAAAATTTTGGGGATAAATCCCTGAGTTCTTTGGGGACTGGGGTAAAGAGCTGGAAGAACAAAGCTTGAGGAAGTGCAGGGAATATGGAGGTAAATCCCCCTCAAAAGCTGTATACAAAATGTCACATCAGTGACATGGTGTTGGTGATCCCTCAGGGAGAAGGAATGGAGGTGAAGAAGTGAGGAATTATCCTCTGGATCTGCTGGATTGTATTTGGGGTTTGGAGGCACCTCTGGAACCCAGGGCAGTCCCAGCCTGGGGGTCCCTGAATGGAATTTGGTGTTGGCGGGGATGGTGCCAGGCAGCCAGTGCTGTTCTTCCACCTCCCCTTCACCTGCAGGATTCAGGAGATGCTGAACAGGGAATTTCAGGAGTTTGAAAGAGGAGGAGCAGCTGCTTTAATCTGAATTATTCCAGAGTGTGACAGCTCTGTGGTCCCAGCTCAGGAAACAGGAATCTGCTGTTCAGGCATCTTGGTGTGGTTTGTGTGGCAGAGGTGACAGGCAGGGCCAGTCCCTGTCAGCAAAACCACAGGAGTGACACCATTCAGAAGGAAACTGGGACTGCTGCTGCTGAATCAACAGCATAAATACAATTCCCAAATATTTTTTTAACTTTTTAGGATAAAAAAGAACATTGCTACTTGCTTTTCTATTTACACGCAGCACGTGAGGCATTTGGGGGAAGCAGAGCTACATTTCCTCGTTATTATTTTTGAAAAAATCAAATCACCTGGTTCTCCTGACCTCGTTTAGGTCCTGAAATCTGGCTGGAATATGCCCAGTATTCCATTGGGGGCATTGGGCAGGAGGGAGGCATCGAGAGGGTCCGGTCCATCTTCGAGCGGGCTCTGACGGCTGTGGGGCTGCACGTGACCAAGGGCACGGCCCTGTGGGAAGCCTACAGGGAATTTGAGAATGCCATCCTGGAAACAGCACAGGTGAGCCCATTCCCCTTTGCTCCCATCCCCAAAAAAGCTGTGGTGCAGCTCGTGGAGTCACCTGGAGCTGTCTCCTCCCTGTCATGTCCCAGCTGTTCCTTCCCAGCTGTAAAAACCAGCCTTGTTCTCCAGGAAAACCATTCTGTGGATTTGGCTGATAAAGTAATGGATTTGTGTTTCTGTAAAATCCTAAAATCATCTCGAATCCAGGAGCAAAGTTTGGCTCTGCTGCTGACTGAGGTGCCAAGAACAGCTTTAAATTGAAATGTTCCATTATTAAACAGTGTTCTGTGGCTGTTTCTGCACAGAGTCAACCAAGTTTTAATTCCTAGACTGTTCAGCTTTTGACTCATTCATTATTCCACAATTTGTGGAGGAGGGTATTTTATCCACAGTGTTTTGGATGAGGGTATTTTATCCACAGACTTTTGGCTGAGACTATTTTATCCCTGGAAAGTACAGTTTGATATCTGTAAAAGTCACCTTTCCAAGATGGCCAGAATGGAAATATTTCCTTATTTTTTATAATTTGCTACGCAAGAGATGGAAGTTTAAAGATGTCCCTGCTCATGGTGGCAGTGGGAACTACTTGGTCTTAAAAGGTCCTTTTCAACCCCAAACAAAGGAGTAACAGGAGGATGTTCTTTCATTCCCAAACACAATTAAGGCTGGAAGTTTTAGATCCTCTCCCCACACCCCAGGGATTTACTGAAACCCTCTTTGGCAGCACAGTGGGGTTGTGAAATGGCACAGTCACCTGCTGCTTCCTTGTTCTCAGGTGATCATTTCCCTGTGCTTGTGTCAGCTTTCACTCAGGAATGCTTTTCCCATTCATCCACCTTCCAAGGGCAGCAATTCCCAAGTTTTAGCTTTCCTGACAATGACTGAGGTGCAGCTTGGCCCTGTGTGCCCTTCAAGGATCGGATCTCAGTTCCCTCAGCTCATAAACAATTCCCTCTCATGCCCATCAGCCGGGGCTGGAGGATGGATTGAATTTCCCTGGTTTTTTTTTTGCTTGCAGCCAGCTCCTGGCAGCATTCCATCCCCGGAGCAGCAGCAGGTGCTGTGCAGCCAGCTCGAGAAGATCCACACGCTCTTCCGGCGCCAGCTGGGGATCCCACTGCTGGGTAAGGGCTGCACTGCTGGGACAGGAGCCTGGAGCAGCTGGGGGATGCTCCTGGATTCTCCTGGCACAGCCTCACCAAGCACAGCTGGAGGTCTTGTGCTCCCTTGGATGAGGCACAGATCCCTCCGGGCCAGGAATGTTCGGAGTTGTTGGGACTTGGCTCACCGGGTTGGGAGTTTGAGGATGTTCAAAGTGCAAGCAAGGAGTACAAAATGTGACTGAAAAATGAGGAGTTCAGCTGTGATTGCTGCATAAAACTCCCTCAGTAGGGAGTATCTGGCAGCTGGATTGTTGGAATTCTGCCTTCTCTAGTTCCTGCTTTAAACTCCTTGAGTCCCTTTTCTTGCTCATGGGAGAAAGCTAAGCACAGCTCTTTTGACTTCATTTCCATCTGGAAAGAATTTGGGTTCTCTTTTCTCTAAAGCCTTGGGGAAAATTTTGCCATTTTGGTTTTCTAATTCCAGTTGAGCAGCTTTAATACAACTTGCCCTCTGAGTTTGTTGTAGGACACTGTGTGAGATGAAATGTCATATCCTTTAAGAATGCAGCAGTGTGACAGTAAGGACCAAAAGAGAAGAAAAATTTAAATATTTGTTCCAAATAAATGATAAATATTATTTATATAAAAATAGGAATTTGTCTTAAAATCTGAATTTTTTTTCATAAATGCATTATTGATGGGATTTCATGTTTTAATAGACATGGAGGCTTCATATGCTGAATATGAGGAGTGGTCAGAAGAGCCCATTCCAGAAACCACAATAAAAAACTACAAAAAAGCTCTACAGCAGCTGGAGAAGTGTAAACCCTACGAGGAGGCACTGGTAATGCTGGCACTTACACCTTCCTTCAAAACTAAGAGGGAATTGCTTTGGGGGGATTTACTTTTTTTTTTCCAAATTTAGTATTTTTCTAGTCCCCAGCTGGGGGACTTGGTCAGCAATGGGAATACTGACAATTATATACTGGGAATACTGGAAATTATGGGGTGCATTGAGTGTGCCAGACCACTCTGAGGTGCACATGAGGACTCTGGGTGTGTTTTTGGGTTAAAGGGAATAAACCCAGGATCTGGTTGATTTCAGGCCCATTCAGAGGTGTATGAAAATCAACAGCTGCTGATACAGAGACAAATCTCTTATGTGAAATCTTGCACAAGAGCTGCTCTGAGGAACAGCTGAACTGTTGGAGTCTTGCTTTGTTGAAGAGTTTGATGTTGTGTCTCCCTGGTTGTTTTCCAGCTGGGTGCTGAAACCCCAAAGCTGGCAGAATACCAAGCTTACATTGATTTTGAAATGAAAGCAGGTGACCCAGCTCGGATTCAGTTGATCTATGAGAGAGCTTTGGCTGAGAACTGCCTTGTCCCAGACCTCTGGGCACGCTACAACCAGTATTTGGTAAGGAAATAAACCCAGGAATGGTTGCAGATTTGTTTTCCTGCCTTTACTTTTGTTTATTTTTAATCTCAGTTGCTGATAAACAGGCATGAACTTCTACCTCAGTCCTGTCCTTTAATCTGTAAATCTTCCAGAAAACAGATTTTCACCCATCTTTGGTTTCCTCCTGTTTTCAGGGATGTGTTTATTCCTCTTGTGAGCATTTCTCACTTTTCTCTGCCCTAGCTGTGTTTTCTCTGCAGAATAACAGGGTGTGGGCACTGAAGCAAACCCAGATGTTCAGCCCCTGTTTCCAGGGGGGTTTCTTAGTGCAGTTTGAGCTCCAGAGGCAGGACAGAAGGTGGCTGGATTAAGGGATCAGGCTTGACTCCCTGCAGGAGCTTATCCAGGCTCAGTGTTTCCATCATCTCTTTCTGTTCCCAGCTGGACACAGCAGGTTGCAGGTGGAACAACACCTGCACAAATAGGCTGGGTGTGCTCCTTTGTATCCTTGACATTCTAGGAACAGTTGGGAATTCACTCAATGCCTTTATTGTATTTATTTATTTGGCAGAAAACACCTCACTGGCCTGGTAGTTCTTTCATGAGCATATTCTTCCTCATGGGAAGGTGTTCACTGGGTTTTTAGGAACACAGAATTTAAAATACCCATCTGAGCTTTTTAAATATAAAATGAAAACGCTGGGGTCTGGGTGTTGGCTCTTGATAAGCTGAGGTTTGTCTCAGGTGGTCCCTGTGGCTGACAGGAACTTCCCTTTTCTTGTGTGATTCTTTCAGGACAGGCAGCTGAAGGTGAAGGAATTGGTTTTATCCGCTCACGACCGCGCTGTCAGGAACTGCCCCTGGACTGTTGGGCTGTGGATTCGGTACCTGCTGGCCATGGAGAGGCACAGGGTTGAGCACAGCATCATTTCAGGTGAGGAAAGAACCAGCAAATTGCACTTCAGAGCTGCTCTCTGCCCCCAAACAGCCTGGGACAGAAATGGGACTTGCAGGATCTGTTCTCAGCCCGCAGGTCCTGCAAGGGCAAAGCTGCTTGGGTTGAGCAGCTGCACCCTGAGCAAACACTGAACAGCTTGGAATGAAAATTCCTCAATTCAGCTGCCTTTAAATTCACTTCCCAAACCAATTTATTGTGTAGGATTTCTCTTCCTGTCTTCCTAGAAACGATTGGTGTTTGTGTAGGTATTTCTTTGTGCTATCACTGCAGCTTGCTAATTTTGACTGTATATGGGAAGTAACTGTTTTTTCCCCATTTTTTCTTTCAGAAATGTTTGAAAAAGCTCTGAATGCAGGTTTTATTCAAGCAACTGACTATGTAGAGATCTGGCAGGCCTACCTGGATTACCTGAGGAGAAGGGTGGATTTTACACAAGGTCTGTATGATAAATACAGAATAAATATCTATACTATATATATCTTTCTATCTATACTATTTTCTTGGATATTGCTTTTTTAAAAGAAAATTAACAGCATTTTCATCTTTCACAAAAATGATTTTCTGGCCAGTTAATGTCTATAAAAAAAGGAATTTGGTTGGTTTGCTATTGCAAAAATGCCCTGTCTTATATTTTTGATAATTTTAAAAATTATTCATGTAGTGAGTTTTACTCATTATAAAATCATAAATTTAAGCAATAATAACAACGAGAAATAATAAATTTATTCTCCCCATGCTATCCAATGAAATCATTGTGGGTGTTAAGGAGATGGTTTTATTGGGTGGGAAATGAAAACTAAATTATTATTTTAAGGCTGTTCTTTCTTTTTTTTCCCTGCAGACTCCAGTAAGGAGCTGGAGGAGCTGCGCTCCGCGTTTGCACGAGCTGTGGAGTACTTGAAACAAGAAGTAGAAGAAAGTAAGTGAAATAATCTCAAGTATTGTTTTCTCCTCTTCAAAATCATTTTTATAAGATCAGTTCTCCACACAATATTTGTCTTCAAGAATCTTGAACATTTCAGAAAGCTGCAGATAAAGATTTCATCTCCGTGTGGGACCTGTTTCATAAACACTTTTATTTCTGAGAGCCAAGTGCAGCAAACAACCCTTGTTTTTCTTCCTAGGGTTCAGTGAAAGTGGAGATCCATCCTGCACCATCATGCAGAACTGGGCAAGAGTTGAGGTGATGTTTCTCTCTGCTGTATTTAAATTGCTGAACCTGATGAAATGGATTTAAAATAAAATATTTTAACATTCCAACCGTGGAATGCATTCCTTTCCCAATCCATTTCCCCTCTTCCTAAACACAAGCCAAGTTCTCAGTCTGAGACGTTATTAGGTATATTAATCAAAAACAAAAGGAAGAAATTCAGAAAACAGCTCTCTAATTTATTTTATAATCACCAAAATCCAATGGATGTGGGAGCCAGGACCAAGACTAATGGGAGAGGTGGGCAGGGAAGGATTATTCAGTAGTAGGATTGTGTCAGGTGTTTATTTTCACCACTGTAAGGGTCAGATGTGTCTTGCTGGGTCTGTCTGCAGCATCTGTGGGGTGTTTTTGGTTTGAAATTAATGATATTGAACAAATCATCCTGAAGGATATTTTGGATGCTCCGTTGCAGGCCCGCTTGTGTAACAACATGCAGAAAGCCAGGGAGCTCTGGGACAACATCATGACTAAAGGAAATGCCAAATATGCCAACATGTGGCTGGAATATTACAACCTGGAAAGGTAATAATTCATTTTTTAGTTTTCTCATCTGTGGGAGAAAACAGTTTAGAACAAATGTGTTTTGTTCGGGTTTACAAAACACCTTGGAGCTTCTTGGGGTGGCTCCGCTGTGGCTCCCAGGAGTGTCACAGCAGCTGGGGAAGGAGGGGGAACGTTTGCATGGCTGGAACTGTGTGTGGTTTGTCCCCTCAGTGCCCTGTCCCCTCCTGCAGGGCCCATGGGGACACCCAGCACTGCAGGAAGGCCCTGCACCGGGCAGTGCAGTGCACCAGTGACTACCCCGAGCACGTCTGCGAGGTGCTGCTCACCCTGGAGAGGATAGAAGGTACCTGGGCACTGCCAGGGGGTGACTCAGTGACAGAAGGTCACTGGGGGACAGGCAGGGGGTAATTAATTAACAGAAGGTAACTCAGTGACTGGCAGAAGGTGATTAATGACTGCATCTCTTAGCCTGGTTAGGCAGAGGTGGCACACGGGCATTTGATCCTGTGTTTTGTGCTCCACTGAAGTCTCACTTTTCTCTGCTGTCAAATCCACAGACAGCTCTTTTCTTCCTTGCTTTTCTGAAATCACTGGATTTTTCCATGCCTTTTTGGAGTCTTGCATTATTAATGAGAGGTTTCTGCTCTGCTTGGCTCTTGGGTTTTTTTTTTTTTTACCTTGCAGGCTAGTTGTTATAATTAGAATTTTCATGTGGAATGTTAAGTATGAACAGCAAGTGCCATGAACTCAGTGACTCTCATTTTTCCAGAATTGTATCTTTGAATTATGAGGAAGCTAAATAAAAGGCTTTTAAAATTTATTTTAATTTTATCCTTTAGGAACGCTGGAAGACTGGGATGCAGCTGTTCAGAAAACTGAGAACAGATTGGCTCGAGTGAATGAACAAAGAGCAAAGGTCAGAACTTTCTGTGAGCTACCAAAGCATTTTATACCCCTAAATTAAGTCCATGCTTCTCTGAATGTCACATTTGTAATGTGGCTTCCCCCCAGATAAGCCTGACATGCCTTCAAGCCCTAGAACTATTGATTTTTACTTTAAAACTATGATTAACAACCTCTTGCTGCTTTTTATCTTTCTCCTTTTGCCACTTGGATGGCCACAAGAGTGATGTGCTGTCCAGGAAAGCCGTGAGAGCAAAGAATTGGGATGAGCTTTAAATGATGTCCCCGTTAGCGCTGGGGTTAGGAGAAAACCCTCTGGGCTCAGTGCTCTGGAAAATGCTCTGCAATCTGCAGCCAGTGGGAGAAAAAAAAGAAATAAATCTTGTGTGTTTTAGGCTGCTGAGAAAGAAGCTGCTCTGGCAAAGCAGGAGGAGGAGAGAGCTGAGCAGAGAAAGCAAGCAAGGGCAGAGAAGAAAGCTTCCAAAAAAGCCAAAAAAACCAGGACTGGGGACAAGCGCAAAGCCGACGAGGATGATGAGGGTGAATGGGGACAAGAAGAAGGTAAAAATAAAATTAAATTGAAACTTAGGGCTCTGGCAACAGGGTTCTTGGTTGTCTTGTGGTAGAGGGAGCTGAGGAATTGCCAGCATTGGTGTCTTTCCAGGGCTGCTTTCTCCTGGGAAGTGTTCAGTGTGGGAGTGAAATGCAAACAAGGCTAAATGGTTTTATACCAAGAGAAAAACAGGTTTATAGGAGCTTCCAGAGTTTTCTTGGGGTTTCTTATTTTGGATATTGTGATTTTTGGTTTTTTCTTCCTTAATTTTCCTTTAAAGTAATTTTTCTGACTCATCCTATGATACTGAGCCATGTGTCTAAATTGGGTTATTCAGAATTGTAGCAGCTTCTTGGAGGTGGGAACAGAAGACTTTAATAGGTTGCTTCCCCTGGGATTTTTGTGAGCTTTTAGATTTCTTTTTTTTTTTTTTTTTAATAAAGAACCATTAGACAAAGAAAAGAACATGAATCAGCGACTGTCAGTTATGACTGGCTGAAAAAAGGAACAAATATTCCAGTTGCTTTCATCTGAAGCTGTCTTGGTGGAATAATCTGTTGTTATTTGTTCTTTTAAAACCTGAGGGGGGTTTTTTTGTGGTGTCTTTAAGACCTGTCATTGTATTTGTGCTTCCATGTGCCATTTCCAAGCTCCACAGTGGGAATGGAGGGCAGAGGAGTTTCAGTGAGGAAGGGAATGGGGGAGTGGGGGGGAAAAGGAGGACAGAGTGAGGTGTTCCTGTAGTTAAATTTTGTAACAGTGGTTTCTCAGATCTCAGAGAGAGGCCGAGTAGGAATTTATGATAGAATTTGTTTTGTTTTTAGGGTTGTGTTTTGCTTTGGGGGGTTTGGCAGTTGCGTCTAACCCGTCTCCTTATTATGGGGTGTCAGGGTTGCTTGTAGTGGCTGTTGCAGGGTGTGGTTGATTGGTGAGTTTGGGGGTTTCTTTTGTGTCCTTGGTGCTTGTTATGGTTTATTTAGGGGGGATGTTGGTGGTGTTTGTTTATTCGGTGTCGTTGGCGGCGGATCCTTATCCTGAGGCTTGGGCTACTTGGGGGCTTCTTGGTTACGGTCTTGGGATTTTCTAACAAGGGATTTTCTAACAATTCCATCAATCAGAGCTGCCCAGCAAGAGGCAGAGGGGAGAGGGTGATGGAATGCTCCCTGAAGAGGACATGGAAGTGGAGACAGGGCTCTCTGGCAGGAGCGAGCAGCCCGATGGCCCCGCAGCCCCGAAGGAAAAGGCGTCCACCAGCCGCAAGGACGTCCCCAAAGTGTTCCACGACAGCAGCAAGGACAAAGTCACCGTGTTTGTCAGCAACCTCTCCTACACCATGGCAGAGCCTGAAGCCAAGCTGAGGGAGCTCTTTGGGAGCTGTGGGGAGGTCGTGGAGGTCCGAGCAGTGTTCAACAACAAGGGCACCTTTCGGGGCTACTGCTACGTGCAGTTCAGGGAGGAGGAGGCTGCTCGGCAGGCCCTGGCCTTGGATCGCACGGCCGTGGAGGGCAGGCCCATGTTTGTGTCTCCTTGTGTTGACAAGAACAAGAATCCCGACTTTAAGGTAAAAGTTTTGATGGTTCCTGTTGGACATTGGATGTGGGGAAGGGAGTTGGTGGAATCTGTTGTGTCCAATCAATTCGTGTTGTGCCTTTTTAAAATTTTTTGGGACTTTTTGCATCTTGTTACTCTACCAGACATCAGGATTGACATAATTTTTTTACTCAAGATTTTCAGAAATCTGCTGATCTGAGCAGTTTAGTGGTGGGACCTACCCAGGTTCAACCTCTGAAGAGCTTTCTTGGTCAGCATTTGTTACCCAATCCCCTGGCTGGGGATGTTCTGTACCAGAACTCAGTTGTGTAACCGGGAGATTTCTGCATTCTGGAGTTTCTGCACAGAAAAATTCAATGTTTCCATAGTGATAGCTGAGTAAGAAGGCAATATTATAAATACATTATTATAGGAATTGGGCTCTGATCCTTCTGGATGCCTCCCAGCTCAGGATATTCTATGATTCTCAGTGTCTTTCCTCATTGGGAAGGGGTTTAGTAGCATTTAGTTGCAAGTCTTTGGTGTTTATATGCAAATACCTTCCAAAGCACTACTCATGGCTTTGAGGCAGTTTTGGATCCCACAAACAGGAATTGCTTTTGGGGTGTGGAATTGAAATCCTTGGCATTTCTGGCTGGTTTGTGAACCAACATCCTTTTTGTTCCTCCAGGTGTTCAGGTACAGCACTACCCTGGAGAAGCATAAACTCTTTATATCTGGTTTGCCATTTTCCTGCACTAAGGAGGAGCTGGAGGAGGTGTGTAAAGCCCATGGGAATGTGAAGGACATTCGACTGGTCACCAACAGAGCTGGAAAACCCAAGGTAGGCATCCTTAACACACTCCTGGATTTAAGGAATGCTTCAAAAAGAAGCTTCTCATGGAGTCTGGGAGACAAAATTTGGGTTTGTTAAGTTGCCAGTGTGGTGGTGTATTAATACTTGTGGAAGAGCTTGGATTTATACAGCCCAGTGTACCTTTGTGCAGAAAACCAAAAGGAATTTTTCCAAAATGCTTCTTAAATTGCATAAGAAAAATGGGATGGAGGGGGAATTGTTTACAGCATTTTCAGTATTGTAAAAAAGGGCAATCTGTAAAAGATTGGTTTTTAAATAACTGGCTAAATGGGGTTTACCTGGTGCAGCCAATTCCCATCCTCCTTTCCTCAATTTCCTGAGGCTTTTGTTCCTAACATCTACTGCAGGAAGGGATTTGCCAGTGAGAAATGATCCCACTCTCTGGAAGGGCTCATTATTTCCATCCCTGAATAAATGACTCCTTGTTAAATAAGGGATTCTGAACCAGCTGCTGCTCTGCCAAAACTGTCTGACACCTGGGCTGCGTCTGTGTGGTGGGTCCTGTCCACAGGGACATTGTGGGAATGGTGGACATGGATTTAAATTGAATTTTCTTACCCTCAGGTGAAGTTCCTGTTGTGTGCACACCTTGTAATGAGTGCTCTTGGGAACCCCAGCTCTTGTTCTGAGCCTAGTTTGAGCTGGGATTGTGTATAAACCACAAATACATGTATTTTGGGAAAGTTATGTAAAACCTGATGCCTCTCCTGTGAAACTGGATAATCCAAAAAATGCAGCTTAAGGCTTTAAATGTCATTTAAAAGAGTAACAGCAGGCAGAGGTGATGCCCTTCTCTGTGTGAGCCTGCCATGGTACTTCATTATATTTATTTTATAGCATTTTTAGAGTGGTTCTTCCCTTTTTAATACACTTTTTCTATACATGAGGGCATCAGGAGTGAGAGACAAGAAATACAGGTTGTAAGGAGAATGATGATTGCAGTGAGCCACGTTGAGTTTCCCTCATTTACAAACTCCTCACCAGCTTTTACAGAAGCACTGAAACCCCAATGTTGGTTCTTTCTTTTCTCAACTTAGGGCCTGGCTTATGTGGAATACGAGAACGAAGCCCAGGCCTCTCAGGCTGTGCTGAAGATGGATGGGCTGACAGTGAAGGACCACGTCATCAAGGTGATGATCAGCAACCCCCCTGTCCGGAAGCTTCCGGAGCGGCCCGACCCCAGCAAGGCCTCCCTGGTACCACCACGGCAGATCTATGGAGCGTGAGTGAGGGACGGGTGCCTAAAACTGCTTGGAAGGGAAATACTTTGGTTTCTTTATATGCTGAAGTTGAGGAATCTTAGCTGGAATATGGGGGTTTAGGAAAAGGAGGAGAGGGATTTTTTATATGGGCAAGGGGGAAGGGCTTCCCGCTGCCAGAGGGCAGGGTTAGATGGGATATGGGGAAGGAATCCCTGTGAGGGTGGGGAGGCCTTGGCACAGCATGCCCAGAGAAGCTGTGGCTGCCCCTGGATCCCTGGAAGTGTCCAAGGCTGGGTTGGATTGGACCGGAGCAGCTTGGATAGTGGAAGGTGCCCCTGTCCATGGCAGGGGTGGGACTGGGTGATCTTCAAGGCCTCTTCCAACCCAAATCAGTGCAGGACCTTGTGAATCTGAAAGAACATTTAAAAGGTACTGCACCAAAAAAAAAAAAGGGTTGTTGGATTGATGAGGAAAAGCAAATCTTTTCTCTTTACATCTCTGTAGCAGTGAGAGGATGAGGCACTGGCCACCCCCTTGGATCTGATGTTGGCACTGATCCCTAATAACCTCCACATCCTCTCCCTCTGGAGAAGTAGCCATTGTTCCCAGTGAGCATTAAAGCTGCTCCTTCATCTTTTTAGTGTTCCTGGATGGGATGAGCCCCTGTGGATAAACAGAGCTTGGGCCCTGGGGACCGTGGGGCAGCTGTTGTCTGCCAGAACTCAGGGGTGCTTCAAAGACACCCATGGAAAGCTTTATCCCTGAAACAAATGACAGGAATGATGTTAAAATGTGCATTCCTCATAGCAAACAAGTCCTTGTTGTTCCCCCAAGCTAAAAGAGTGTTTTTTAATGGGAATTTTTTTCCCTTCCAGACGAGGGAAGGGAAGGACCCAGCTCTCCATGATGCCCCGGGCACTGCAGCGTCAGAGCAACCCCGTGGCCAAGGCTGAGAATGGGATGGTCCAGAACTCACCAGCAGCGTCCTCTGAGGCCCCTGCAGAGCCTAAAAAGATGTCCAATGCTGATTTTGCCAAGATGCTCCTGAAAAAGTGAGCAAGGAGTGTGTACTCAGCGGGTCTGGTCCAATGTGAAATGCCTTTCTGGAAGCCATGTTGTGTCCTTAAGCTTTGCAAGGAGAGAACGCCCGTCCCAATCCCGTGTAAATACTGGACTGCTGCATTCCTCGGGATCAGTGGAGGATGGCACAAATCCAGGTGGTGGTTTTTTGGTTTTTTTTTTTTTTTTTTTTGTTTTTTTCTTTCCTCTAAGAGCAAAGAGTTACGCTTTTGTTCTGTTGAAATGGCGTTAATGTGATCCCTCATATTGAGGGTAACGAGGGGGGAAATATTTCCTGCACAGCTCGGATGCCACATGGAGTTTTTTGGAGTACTTTCCAACAATTTTCTCTTTCATTAACGAATGAGATGCCATGGGAGGACCTCAGCAAGCTCCACTGGTCAGCTCAGATTGGGATTGCAGACATTCTCTCTGCCAACAGCCCCATTCTTCACCCAAACCCACGCACGCAGGGACTGTCATCTCCTTCCATGCAGAATCCAACAGCAGATGCTCCAACTTCACCACAATGGCCTCTTTTAGTATTGGGAGAGTTTCTATACATATGTGTGCATATGTAGATACACAGATATACATATATATGTATCCAGTTCCTGTTCTGTTCCAGTTGACCTGTTTTTTATATGGTGTATTTGTAAAGGACATTGAGATGATTCTTTTTAAGTGTCAGGAGCTGATCCTTAGGTGGTAATTTTTGTTTCCCATGAAGCTGGACGTGCTGTTGCTGAGGACCAGGTTTTTTGGTTGTTTTTTTTTTTTTGTTGTTGTTTTACCTAGCTAGCTCATGTCTTTTTGCAGGTGGTTTCTGTATGGTTTTGTACAACTGTGAAGTGCAAGCTGACGTTTCTCGGTTTATTAAACTCAAGTTCTCAAAGGTTTTCTATAAATACTGTTGCTTTTGTTTAAGTGTGGGTGTTGGAACTGCATTTCTCTGGCAGTTGGGTGATAGTGATGTACCTCACCTCTCAGGTGTGCTCAGTGTCCCTCAGGCCTTGAAGCAGCTCATTCCATCTGCTCTGAATATCCTGAAATCACCTCAGTCATCACCTCAGACTTTCCAACAGTGGTGTGACCCTGGCTAGAAACATCCCTGCTTGTCAAATACCCTGGAAATCACCCCCCAGAGGGGTGGGTGTTGAGGGGGGACCCCAGTGCTGAGTTCACTTGGACCACAGGAACACTGCTGCAAATAAACACTATTTTCTGTGCTGATTTCACTTGGCTTTGCTTTGCAATGATGACTCTGCTCGTGTTGTCACGTGGCTGAGGGGAACCAGGATCTCTCCCATGGCTTCTCCTCCTCCACAACCACTTAGTTCACTGCAGCCAAGTGTGCTCTGACAACAGCCTCTTCCAAACAAAGACTTTCATATTAAAATAGTTTATTAATCTGTTACTAAAATAACATTTTCCCCCCCCCCCACAGAGCTCTAAAGTGCATTATTTATAGTCAGGTTGCACTACAAAAATAACATGCTTTGTAAGGACAGGACACCTTGCCTCCTGTATTGTCTGCTTTCCCTGGCATCAGTGCTCAGAGAACTCCCAGTCTCATCCTGGTTTCTGCTTCTCTAAAACAGGTTCTAAGCTCCCTGTCAGGTAAGAGAGAGTTAAAAGGGGAGAAAACTAAGCCTAGGGCAACCTGGCAGCTTTTGTCAAGGGGTTAAATGCTCTAAACTGGGATTTTAAATGGAAGTTTTGTGAGCTTGGAGGTGGTGGTGTCGATGATGCTGTTACAGACCTGGCAGGTTTGGGGTAGGGAGATCTGTGGGTACTTTTACCTTAAAAACCAAGGAAAAAGGGATTCTTTGAACTGCTCAGCAGCTCCAGGCACTGCACTGCCCCTGCAGCACACAGAGGCTTTGAGTGATTCTTGACACATTTATCAGAGTAATGACATAACCAGTGATTAATTATGGAAGTTCCCTTACCTAGACGTAAGAAATGGAAGTTTTTGGCAAACTTCCTGTACACATTCTTCCCACATTGGCACAACTGGTGTCTCCTGGCTCTGCCTGATGACCTTTTCTGCCCACAGTTCTGCAGACAAGCTCCTTCCAACCCCTCCACTGAAATGTCTAAGGACAGTTGTGCTTTCCCAGGGCTCCTCTTGGCTGAGATTTTCTGAGTCCTCCCTCAAGTAAGTCAGAGCTTTTCTCCTCTTGTTCCACTCCTATCACCTGTAATCCCAAACCAAACACTTCCCACTTGTACAAAACTCACCCCAGGAAAGGCAGCTGAAAGTAAACATGCAAAGTGCCACAGAAAAACACGAACGGGAGGGGAGAGATGCCTTTGGGCTGGAGTTCAGCCTCCTTTGTGGTCAGTACCTGCGTGAGTGACACCAAAGTGTCTGGTGGACACAGCTGGGAGCAGGCTGTTCCTTCAGGGATGTGTTTTGGAGCTACAGGGAAGAGGCCACACAGAACCAACTCAGTTTAGGCTTTGCTGAGGTCAGACAGTAGAGTTGACTGCCTGGGTGAAGGGTTGTGATTGAAGCAGCTCCTCAAAGCTTAGTTCTAAGGGGAAATTCAATTTCAGTTCATCTTTTTGAGCCCTCTGACATCTCTCCCCACCTCCTTCCAGTGCACGGCCACCATCCCCAGCTCCATTTGGCATCATGTATATAAATAAATAATATTAATTTAATCAAATTTAAATAAACAAAAATGCTCAAGTGACACCTCCCGTCCAGTCACCTCCCAGCAGGAACAGCTTGGAGTTCTGCTCTCCCACAGCTCCTGAATTTGCCCAAACCCCTCAAGTCTTGACGGGGATGGTTTGTTTGCAGCCAGCCTCGGGCAGGCCCACGGAGTACTCGGTGGTGGCGATGAGCAGCATGTCCAGCGTGGTCTCGGCGCACTTGGCGATGAAGCGGATGAAGGGCCGCACGTCGCCCTCGTTGGCCACCTCCAGCACGTGGTAATACTCAGCCCTCTGCTCCTTGCGGATGGTGATGGGCGGGTAGCCCGCCTGCATCAGGATCAGGTTCATCAGCAGCCGCGAGGTGCGGCCGTTGCCGTCCACGAAGGGGTGGATGTAAACCAGCTTGTAGTGCGCCAGCGCCGCGAACTCCACGGGGTGCAGGCTGCTGGCGTCCTCCGAGTTCATCCACTGCACGAACTCCTCCATCTGCTTCTCCACGTCCTGCGGGTGCGGCGGGATGTGGTGGCCCACGAAGACCTGCGTGGCTCGGAAGCGCCCGGCCTCCACGGGGTCGGCGTAGCCCAGCACGCGCCGGTGGATGTCCAGGATGTCCCTGCTGGTGACGGAGCCGATGCGCGACACCAGCGTGGTGTTGACGAACTTGAGGGCAGCGTGCATGCCCAGCACCTCGTTCTGCTCCGCCAGGCTCTTCCCGGGAACGGCGTACCTGTGGCACACGTGGGTTTTGTGAAAAATCTTTTTGGTAAGATTTTTTTTTTTTGTTCTCCTGAGAAGCTGAGAGGCTGTGGGAATTCGCAGGCAGCCCCGACGTGGGAAGAGACGAGAATCTTGACTCCATGTTTCAGAAGGCTGATTTATTATTTTATTTTATTATGTTATTCTAATATTATATTATTTATTTATATTATTTTATTATATTATTAATTTTATTATTTGTTTCTATTAGTTCATTATATTATTATATAATTTATATTATTTTGTTATATTTTAAAATTTTATTGTATTATTTGTTTATATTATTTTATTGTATTATATTAGATTATTTAATTATTTGTTTACACTAGTTTATTATATTATTATAATAATGTGGTATTTATTTATATTATTATATAATAGTGTTTATTTTATTATATGTTTATATTATTTTTTATTATTTATTTTATTATTTATTTCTATTATTTTATTATATTTTTATTATATTATTTATTTTATTATTTTTATATATATATAAAATATATTAAAACTATACTAAAAGAATAGAAGAAAGGATTTCATCAAAAGGCTTAGCAAGGAAAAGGAAGGAATGGAATGATAACAAAAGCATGTGACTCTCAGAGAGTCTGGGATAGCTGGGCTGTGATTGGCCATTAATTAAAAACAACCACACGAGACCAATCACAGATGCACCTGTTGCATTCCTCAGCAGCAGATAATTATTTTCTTTTCCTCTGAGGCTTCTCAGCTTCTCAGGAGAAAAATCCTGGCAAAGGGATTTTTCAGAAAATATCATGGCTACAAGAGGCCTCAGAAACGAAATGTGAACAATGGTTATCTGCTGCTGTGGAATGCAACAGGTGCATCTTTGATTGGTCTCCTGTGGTTGTTTTTAATTAATGGCCAATCACAGCCCAGCTGGCTCAGACTGTCTGAGAGTCACAAGATTTTATTATCGTTCCATTTTCCTTTCTATTCCTTGCAAGCCTTCTGATGAAATCCTTTCTTCTATTCTTTTAGTATAGTTTAAATACATCATTTTCATATAATATAATACAATACCACAAAATAACAAATCAGCCTCCTGGAACATGGAGTCAAGATTCTCTTCCCTCGTCCTGGAACCCCTGCTAACACCCCCCCGTACCTGGTCTCGATGATGTGCCGGATCTCAGACAGCGTCAGCGTGTTCCCCTCGATGGCCACCGTGTGGTAGATGTGGTGGTAGTAGGATTCCTCCATCACCCGGCGCAGGGCAGAATTCCCCTTGGGAATGGCCATCACCTTCTTGACCTTGCTGTCGATGATGCTGAAGTACCTCTGGTCGATCTCCTCCACCAAGGGCAGCGTCCGGCCGCGGTTGCTCAGAGCCTTCTCGTTGTGGGGGGAGATGGTCAGAGCTTTGGAGTACAGGTAGTCAGCCTGCAGGATGTCCTTCTCCTCCTCTGAAAAGATCCCAAACTCGTTCAGGGCATCCACGTAATCCGGGTCCATTTTGAGGGCGTACAGGAAGAGTTTGTGGGCCTTCTCCCGCTTCCCTTGGCGCTTCATCTCCAGGGCTTGATTCAGAGCTGCTCTGGCTTCCAGCTTCACCTCTGGAATGAAGTAGTAACAGAAAAAAGTGGTGAGTTTTACTGGAAACCTCTGGAAATCTGGATTCCGCCATCCTTGTGCCTCCCTTCCCACTCAGGATATTCTATGACTGTCCACTGATATAAAAATTGAACAAGAACTGGAACAGAATTTATGTTCCAGAGGTTTATGCCACGTTTCCAGGCTGAGCATGAGGCAGCAGAGTCATTCCTGGCAGCAAGTGTGGGGAGGGCAGGACCTGTGGGCAGCAGGCTCAAGGTGACCACAGGTGGCCACCAAACTGCTTCATGTGGGAGGAAACAGTGTTTTAACAGTGTTCCCTTGGCTTTCTTTTAAGTGAAATTATAATGTTAACATTATTATCTTGGCTGCCAACAGCACTTCTGGTTTTCCACTGAACTATCCAACGTTTTCCCAGCAGTAAGAGCTTTAATGCAAACAAAGATACAGTGCTGGAATTGTAATAATTCCTTTAAGTGTTTTCCAAATTAATGTCCTGGCTGATACTGGCCATGGCTACAGCCTGACATTGCCTGAAAGGCTGTTCTGTGCCAAGATTTTGGGATTAACGCTGTGTAGCCCAGATTTCTGTGCATTAAACCACCTCTCTGTGTTCCAGTCGCCTCCACTGAAGTTCCTAGTACTGAAAACACGAGGAAAAACTCTGGAGAGACAGAGCAATGCCAGCACAGGGTCCTGGAATGCAGTCAAGGAGCTGGTGAGGGCCTGCCTGACCGCGGGGGCATTTACAGCCAGTGTTAATTGCAGTTAATTGCAGTTTGTTGCCATCAGAGTACGCTGTCACTCCCATCAGGGGTACAGGACATGGTCAGGAAGGGGGTGAGGATCTCTGGGTTGGTGTCAGGGTTGGAAGGGCCCTCTGGAAATCACTCCAAGGCAGGGTCACCTGGAGCAGGAAGGTGTCCAGGTGGGTTTGGAATGTCTCCATGATGGAGGGAGATTCCACCACTCCGTGGGCAGCTGTCCCTCGTGGAAAGAGGGACAGCTCCCATTGCTCCTCATGTTGAGGTGGAACTTGTGTTTTAATTTATTGCTCCTTGTCACCACTGAACAGAGCCTAGCACCATCCTCTGGAGATGTTTGTGTGGATTGCTGAGATTCCCTCCTCCAGACTGACCAGGCCCTGCAGTCTCCCCTAATCACAAAGATGCTCCAGACCCCAGATCACCCCTGTGACCTCTGCTGAACCCTCTCCAGCACCTCCTTAACCCGAGGAGCTCAGCCATGCCCACCCAGCACCTCTCACCTGGGGATGCTTTTCCCTTCAGCACCAGCAGCTCCAGCCCCCGGGAGGTGACGCTCAGCTCGGTGCTCTGTCCCGTGAGCCTGCTGATTCCCGAGGAGGAGCCCAGCCTGTTCCTCAGCAAGGACAGGCCCTTGAGCACAGCCTGGCACTGGTTGTCCAGCGGCAGCAGCAGCATCACCAGTGAGCTCAGCAGCAGCACCAGCACGGCCGCCCAGCGCACACGGAGCCACAGGGACACCCACTGGAGCTCGGGATCGGTCGCCATCGCCACGAGATTCATCCTGAGTCCAGCACCGACACCTGGGGCATCTCCCCTGTCACTGCTCCCACCTGGGAATGCACAGATTTAGCCACAGCTCTGTGCCGGGTAAGAGTGGGTCTGAGTGATGCGCTCTGTGTCTGGGTGATGTGCTGTAGGTCAGGGTGATGTGCTCGGGATCTGGGTGATGTAGTCGGGGTCTGGGTGATGTGCTCGGGGTTTGTGACAGCTGTCCCTGCCGTCCCCTTCCCTGCCACCCGCCAGCCCCGTATGGGATCCGCTCTCGCATTCACTCCCACGGATGCCCGGGAGCAGCGTGGGCACGGGGCTCTGCCAGTCGGTTCCGCGGGCATCACGGAGCTTCCCGTCCCTTCCCCATCCTCCTCCAGGCTTGTGCCCCCCGCCATGCCAAGGGTTCCTGGAACCCCTCCCCATGCTCCGCTTCTCCTGCAGCCACCGCTCCTTCCTCGAGCCCGAACCGGCCGGAATCCCCCCCAGCACCCCGGCTCCTCTCTGCCCGGTGCACCCCAGGCTTTCCCCCCGATCCCCTCTGCCCAAGACCCTCCGGTGCTGTCCCGGCCCCCTGCCCGGTGTCCCCCCGATCCCCACTCACCTTTGCCGCCTCCCGGAGCCGCCCGCTGCCGGCTCTTGCAACCCCGCCCCCAGCCCCGCCCCCGCGCGCTCCCATTGGCTGAGCCGCCCCCCGGTTCCTCTCCCATTGGCTGCCGCAGCGGACGCGTCTCTCGCGCTCCTCCCCTCCGCTTCCTGCACCGGCTTCCGGGTAGCGCCGCGCCCCGGGCGCCAGAGAGGCTCGTGGAGGGTGGGGATTGGTGAGCATGCACGTCAACCATGCGGCGCGCAGCCAATGAGAATGGAGGATGGGGAGTGGGCGGGCATGGTTGCCATATAGGGCATGGCGTGCTGTTGCTAGGCGATAGGAGCGCGGCGGGGCTCACAAAGGGTTAAATTCCATTGCCTTCAATTTCTGGCCATTTCCATGGAAAATCACCTCGTTCTGTTGATACAGAGTTCCCGTCGCCTCTCCGTGGCCCTTCTGGATGTTTCGCTCTTTATGTTTGGGCTTAAGCAGCAGCTGTTCCATACCTCTGCTTCTCCTGCTGGAGGCCAGGAATGGGGAGAGAGTGGAAAAAAGTTGAGGGAAAAGAGAATGTTTTAAATAATTGCAGGTAAATCCCTCAGAATCACTGTCTAGCAAGGTGATGAGGTGGTTTTCTACCAGGTGGAGATCATCAGCAGGAGGGAAAAATAACCTGGTTTGTCAGAAATGGATTCAGGGTATTTAAACTGTGTTCCAGAGGAAGCTGAGGGGAGACCTCCACAGATGTGCCAAACAGATCCCATTCCCTTTAGGGGAATTTGCATTTGGAGCAGCGCTCCAGAGGGATCCTGGGAGCTTCAGCGGGGGGCTGGGGTTCTGGTCTTCCTTCTTCTGCCATTTTACCTTGATTTCACTCACACGTGCCGGGTTTGAGTGCAGCAATAAATGCGTAATGTCTCTTTTTCTTTAACCATCCAGCCTTTGTTCAGTCCCCCTGTTGCTGTCTCCTGTCACTTCAGACTGTTAAGTTTCTCTTTGTTCTGCCAGGAAGACTGAAACAAGTAATTCACAGACAGTTTCTTAGCAAGACTCTCCTCTGCACTATTTATCTGTGTTATTCCACGTACGTGGAAACAGTTCTGTTTTTCTTCTCTACCCTGTCGGGTCCGGCTGTCTGTCTCTGCCCCGACACGGGTAGAGTGGTTCTTTGGTGGGCGCGATGCAAAGGACGAGTCTGGACTCTTCAGCTTTCGGTCTTCAGGTTGTTTATTATTTCTTATCTACAAAAATTTTCTGTCTGCCCAACAGAGGTCTGATCTGCAGGCAGTCACAGGCACTCTCTGACCACCCACGGGGCGGTCATGTCTTTTTATACTAAAACCTACGTATACAATATTTACCTTTATTTCCCAATGCGTTTCGCCCATGTTGGCAAGTGCACCTTCACTAGAAACCAATCTCTAAGTGCCAACATCATCACAGGAGATGGAGGACAAGAAGAAGAAAGAAGAAGGACAAGACACGCCCCGATCTCTCCATCTTGTCTCCATAACCCCCCTGTACCAAAAACCTTAAAATCTATATCTCACCCTCTAAATGTGTCTCTTTTACACCTTTTACTCTAAAGTGATTCTCTTGTCCTCAGACTCTTGTTACTTCTGTGGATGGATCAAAATCAAGCCACCAAGCACTCTTGGCAACATTCCAGGGTTTTCGAGACCCCCAAGGGTTCTCCTGGCATCTCTGGACATCGGGAACGATGTGCTGAGATCCCACATCTCCCCCTTCTGTTTGCACCAAGAAGACTTCTTTGGCAACTTGACTCATGACACGTCTCACACACATAAAGATGCATGGGACAATGAGCATGAGGACTAAGAGTATCATTAAAATATAAAATCCCATTTTTAAAAACCCTCTCCATAAGGGAGAAAGATCAAAAAATCCCGCCACATCATCAATCCATGACCCAGTGATCTCGCCTAATTTCTTTATACTGTCTTTTATATTTTGAATGCTTTCATGAATTGATCTCGAATGATCTGAGAGATTCATGCAGCACATCCTTCAAACTCTTCACATCCATGTCCATGAGCGAGCAACAGATAATCGATTGCTGCCCTATTTTGAAGAGTTGCCTCTCTCACACTGCTTACATCTTTTAACATGTCACTCAAAGCGAGAGAAACTGATTGAGCATGCTTGCTCAACCAACAACCCATGTGGTCCAGTTGAGTCAAGGCCACCCCCGATGCTGTCTGAGGTGAGAAAATTGCTGCTGCAATTCTCCTTGCCTTGTCCCAGGTGTACACTTCATCATCACAGTCTGCACTGTAATGTTGCAAGGACCTTTTCTCTTTGTGTTTTTGTTCTCTCAACACTTTTAAATCTGGTGACAACATTGAAATCCTCCCAATGCTGCATGGACCTCCTTTGGCATTTGCAGGAATGCCGTGCCAAATTCTGTCCCCACAAATTAAAAACAACCCACGTGGCAATTGCACTGGGACCTGGATTGATCCTTTGGCTGTCGTCACAGTGTGATTGCACCAAGCTGATGCATTTTTATAATATTCATGATTTGGTGTGACATCAATGCTATTGTTTGTCCTTGACACATTCGAATTTTCAAATTTCATGCATAGCTCCATTGTTGTGGACCCAAAAATCTCCAATTCCTGCGGTTCAGTAGAAGCCACAGGTAAAAGATGTGTCCACGCACACCATTCATTCACAGGATCTTTGATGACCTGCGAAATCTCCATTGGAGAATGTCCTGGAATTGGCCATTCGCCCACTGGCAACCCAACCATGCATGCCGTGAATGGTTTCCCTGGTTTCGAATGTGTCAGGCAGATACTTTCTAAATTTGCTGCCTGGGCTAACGTTTCCCAAACATTTTGTTTCGGCTGACTGACAGGTAAATTTGCTCCATTGCTTAAAGCAACAGATGCAAGCATGAGCATTATGAAACTTACGACTTCACCCTTATAAAAAACCATTTTCATGCTCCCACTCAAAGCCACAAAGGAAAAAACCCCCCCAAAGTTTTTATTCTTTTTGTTCTCCTTCTGAGTTGTTGTTCACAGCTTGAGTTTCTTCCTCCGTCTGTGTGCTCGTTTCTCTGCTTCCGGGATCTGCGTTCTCCTGCTCTCTCGTTCGAAATGGCTTCACGTGCCGCGCTGACACCCACTTCAGCCCTCGCCCTGTGGAAACACAAGCGAAACCCTTGCCCCAAGTGATTAGTTTGAAAGGACCCTCTATTTGTCCTGTCTCTGGGTTTCTGATCAAAACCAAAGGATTCTCCCTTAGTTTTGCCTGAGAGCTGTTTGAAAAATGCCTCACGATTGGTGGATTGGGTTCAGAAGACGAACTGTTAAGAAAATTCAACACATACAATGCTTTGTTTAACTTCATATGTGGTGTCGCCTCTGGCTCCCCCCTTTTCTGCCTATCCAAAAGGGATTTCAGGGTATGATGTGTTCTTTCAATGATTGCCTGACCTGTGGGTGAATGTGGAATGCCAAATGTGTGTCTGACACCCCATCTTTTCAGGAATCTGTCAAGCACCCTGCCTGTATATGTTGGACCATTATCAGTTTTTATTTCTTGAGGCACACCTAATGATGCAAATGCTTGTAAGAAATGTCGACAAGCATGTTCTGCTGTTTCCCCTGCATGTGCTGAAGCAAAGACTGCCCCTGAAAATGTATCTACGGATACATGAACATTTTTGAGTCTCCCAAATGATGGATATTTTGTGACATCTGTTTGCCACAGCTGAAGACTTTGCAGTCCTCGTGGATTGACTGCTCCTGTCGAAGCAGGTGGTTGCACGAGCTGACAATCTGGACAAGCACTAATGATTTCCCTCGCCTGAGTTTTTGTGAGACGAAAGGATTCCATCAGCGCTTGTGCATTCTGATGAAAAAATGCGTGACTCAGTCGTGCTTGCTCAAAAATGTCCGGAAGTGTTTGTGAAATGGGCATTGTCAATCTGTCTGCCTGAGCATTTCCTTCCGCTAGAAATCCTGGAAGTGTTGTGTGCGCTCTGATGTGAGTGATGAAGTATTCTTCTTCCCTGCTTTCTAGCACTGCTTTCATGCTCACTAGATAGGAATATAAAACTTCGTTGCTGACTTCTTTCAAGAGCGAACCTTCCAATCGTTTGACCACCCCTGCAACATATGCAGAGTCCGTGACCAAATTGAGCGGTTGTTGGAACAACTGAAATGCTCGGACAACAGCTGCCAACTCCACAATTTGTGGAGAGCCTTGAACCGTCTTCACGTTTGACTCCCATTCCCCTGTCGTTGAGTTCATCCACGTGATCACTGACTTGTGTGTCTTTCCTGAGCCATCAGTGAACACTGTGATCCCGTCCAGAGGTTCTTCACTTATTCTTGGCTTTGCTCTGTAGCATATTTGTGACTGCAACATTCTATGTTGTGGGAAATTGATTGTGCAAGCTCCTGGAAAAGCTAACAATGCAATTAACAAATCTTTTGACTTCTGCATCGCCCAATCAAAATAATCTTTTTTCAAAGGCAGATATATCTTTGAAAATTCTCGTCCCGCCATTGTCAGCAATCTTGTTCTCCCCTTTATGATGATTTGTGCTGCCATCTCCAAATCTGTCAGAATTGTCTTTGAAGGCCTGTATGGTAGGAAAATCCACTCTATGATTATTAAAGGATCTCTCTGAGATGCGTCCCATTGGAAGATTAAACCATGGAATTGTGCTTTCTTTCCCAACACTGCCAACTGGAAAGGCAACGATTCAACGAATCGATGTGCCTGCCTCTTCTGAATGGCATCTGTAACTTTTTCCAACTCCTTCTTTGCCTCTTTTGTGAGCGTCCTGGGAGATCGAATGTCTGCATCTCCTCTCAAGAGATCAAGCAACGCTGGAATGTCACTGTTTGTGATTCCCAAAATCGACCTCATCCAGTTGATTTCCCCTAGAAGTTGTTGTAAATCATGTAGATTGTTGACTCTTGTACTGATTTCCATCTTTTGAGGCCTTATTGTTCTCTCTGAGATTTTCCACCCTAGATATTTCCAAGGTGCGACCTCCTGAATTTTTGAAACACTGATTTCCAGACCTGCCTTTTGCACTTCTGCAATCACACAGTCACGAGCTTTTTGCAGCTCTTGTTGTGTTGAGGCCGCAATGAGCAAATCATCCATATAATGAATGATTCTCACCTTCGGGAATTTCTTCCGCACTGGTGACAAAGCTCGTGCCACGTACCATTGGCAGAT